ATAAACACTGTGAATAAGTTAAATAATCTCTCAGGCTGAATGAATAGGCTGGAATTCCAGGATAATGATCCCAATGTACTGTGAACTGAAAAAAACATGTGTAAAGTAGATTTTGAAAAGGGTCCATCTACGACTCCACCAGATTAGCTAATATCAAGAACCCGATACTGGATGGTAATTTGTGTAATGCTGCGTTCACACCAAATGCGTCGCGAATTATTCGCGTGAGTAGATTACATACAAAGTCTATGCACAGACGTGATGAGACTGGCGTGGCGCGAATTTGCGATGGCACGGCGCGATGGACGCAAATTCGCGTCAAATGCCAAATCGCCCAACGCGCGAGTTGAAATTTTTCAACTTCTGCGAAATATTCGCGTTACGCCCCAGTGCGATAGCCTATCAGCGTTGAGTTGCTCCCCCTGTCATCAGCGACGTCCTGCCGTTGTTGAATCAGGAAATAAATACTGTAGCCGTCTGTGTTCACCCAGAGCTCTACGATACCTCATATCAATAGAGACCGGACCAAACTATGTGTATAAATGTGTGTGTGTAAACCATATGGTACAAACAATGAATAGACGCTGCCGTATTTACGTCTAGATGACGTTATTCTGACTGTTGGTGGAGCTGCTACAATGTTAGCATAGCCTAGCACCGATCCATCCCTGCTCCATTGAGAAGACAAGTAGCCTACAAATCGGCATCATTACGTAGTTATTTCGGAGTCCCTTTTTGTCGGTTTATTGCCGTTAAATCGCAGCCAAATCAGTTTATTTTGTGTTCATACAGCTGTAGTAAACAGCGACATCGACGTGTGGCTTGCACAATGTGGCTTGCGGCAATGTGGCTTGCGGCAGTTTGGCTTGCACAGTGAATACACCTTGATAAAATCCATGGAGCTCCTCTGGACAATATTATGACCCAGACATGACGACGTTTAGTTTCCCGGGATATCTGTGACTTCCACAACACGTACTAAGCAGAAATAGAGGGGGTTTTTTTCATGGTTAATGGTGGACAGTTGAACAGCTTTCAGGGCGATAAGCCCCGCCCCCTCTCCGGCGCGTCCAGTGTGATTCACGCGAATGAACACTTGGTCCCCGGCGTTTTGACCGGCGGCGCGATGGACGCAAATATGTGGCGCGATGAATTCGCGACGCGTTTGGTGTGAAGGCAGCATAAGAGATGATGTTGCACTGACCAGTGAGGGCGAATGCAAAAATGATCTCTACTTGAATCATATCTAAAATTAACATCTTAACCTTTACATTACAAGTCAGGTTACATTCAGGATCAAGATCAATAATGTGTGATACCTAATTAAGAAAACAATCAGAATAACTCAGAAAACCGTTTTTGAGTATGAAAGCTGATGCTGACAGCAGCATGGCAGGCAGCGCTTGGAAATAAAAGAAAGTGAATTTGGCTGATGTATCCCTGTGGGTTTAATCCAGCGTGGCGTACAGAGCGTGGCGCAGCCTACAAGGATTATGTGTGCTGGACTTGGCCCACTCTCTCCTCCTCTTTGCCCTACTTTCCATTGAATCATGCAGAGAAAGGCAGAACAAGAGCTCTCTATATATATATACTGCAGGAATGCAAGGACAGATGGAGCCAGTGGGAAGGGGAGGAGCCATTATTGGACAGAAAAAGAGAGAGTGAGCTCTGCTGTCTACGATGTGGTAAAGCATCACACCCAAGTTTTACTGAAATATGAATTCTAGCCCTAAATCCCAATCATGAAGCATCAGTGCTTCTTGAACACGATGTCATTTGTGTGGCAAGTCAGTCGTTCCTTCGTGTCATTTTAATTTCCAGCAGCATCATCCAGTCAGTTGTGATCTAACTGTAGAGACTCAGGAGCTGAATGACGAATGTCTAGTCACGAAAGGAGGGCAACATCTACTAATGCACCCCCGCCCTCGCCAGCCCATTCTGTCCCCATTTCCCTGCTCCAATCAATGCCAGCCCCATTTTGTGGGACAGTCTAGCCTATATGCTGACCACCCACACAGAATCACCAACAGTACTTAAAAGGTGTCATGTTGTTTTTATTATCTTATAATCGGAAGTTTCACAAAGATAACAGCCACTGCCCCACTGTGAATGCTAAAGGAAGCCCTGTTTCCACCTTTCTCACTGCAAACATCTGTAGCAGATACATTTAAGGTTAGCATGCACATACAGACCAGTTAACGCCACATGAGGAACACTGCTCCACTGTAATGGCACCATTATCTTATCAGACAGCCTATGTAACTGGGTGTGCTGTCAGAGCCTCCTCCTAGCTGCATCTTTGTATTCTCAACAAATGGGGATACACACAGTAAGTGACAGAAGTAGTTATGTGAAGAGTGAGGAGAGAGTTACTTTCTCACCTCTGCACACCTGGCAGCGTGAAGTCTCTGTTTTTACAAAGTTACAAGTATTCTGAATGCTGCCAGAAAGGATGTTTCAGATGTCTCTTGTGAGTCATTCAATGTTCTGGAATACTAAATCACATGAGTTTTGTTCAGTATGCAAATGTTTAATCTTATGTGTAAGGCTGCATCTAACCATTATTTTTTCTATGGATTAACTTGTGAACTGAAGAAGCTGGAATCAAAGAATTCTTGGCCATTTAAAGGATTAATTAATTATAAAATAGTTGCCAATTAATTATCACTCACAATAATTCGAATAATGGCAACTGGCATTTGGTTTCGACACACCTTTAGTCCACCAATAATCCACTGTTAGTGTGAATGTTTTGGTCCTCTGAAGACACATGAAACTGAAAGCAGCGTGTCTGAGGGCGTTCAGTGAATTCCTTCTGCTCTGTTTGTAGGCTAATAGCTCCTTTAATGCCTATGCATGAGTCTATACGCATTGAAGTGGGCAACTTGTGTGTGTGAGTTTTTGCAGTTGTGTGTAAAAGGAGTGACAAGGCAGACAATAAAAGCCTTAGAACAAAACCACTGCCATTTCAAAGTGTTTTCATTTTTTTCTTACATTTTTTATCATATTATTGACTTGGTCTCAAATTGTTACGTTGCTGAATTGCTTTTGTCCGTTCTGTTGTTCGAGGTCCGCACTTATTTCTGTCACTTATCTGTCACTTTAAACTGCTTTTACCTGTATGAAAGATGCTATAGAATTCAATGATTGAACAGTTTGTTGTAATTTGGGAACATAGAGGCAGTGATGATCTGTGAGCTGTGATTTGCAGCTACGAACATTCTGTGATCATCGCTTACTTCCACCAAACACAACAGAAGGAAGAGGCTTTACTCAGCAGCAGACTCTCAGGATGCAGTGAATAATTGAAGATGTGTTGGATAGCAGCACGCTTTCACCTGACATGGTTTCTACTCCGTAGAGGGAGGGGGCGGGGGGGTGGCACAGGGATTAGGACCTCGCTCAGAGGCTTATGAATGTAGTGACAGAGAGAGCAGATGTTTCAAGGCAGACAGAGGAGCTGTCAGGATGTTGTGATCTTTAGCTAAAATTAGCACTGTGTGCAAAATGTGATTTTATTGTAGTATATCTTCATCTTAAAATCATGTTAAGAAGCATTCTCTACTGGCAGAAATCAACAATGGGTTTGTGGAACATGTGCTCTTAATTTCCCATTAAGATAACCAGACTGGGTTTAACTGCTGTAAGTGGCTAGCAGTGGCAGACCATGTAGTTTATACCTGAGCCTTCAGTGCTGTCCTATTACAGTTGAACCACCTGCTAATAACCTCATCACGCCAGTATGTCGGGATGCTTCGTCATTACCGGACAATGCATATAGTCAGAATCAATGTAATTAACACAATGACAAGAACAAACTCACAAGAACCAGTCGCATATATTCATATGACAACAAAGCAGGTAGAATAACATAAAACCCAAATACCATGATTCAACAGGCCATTCAAATAGTATTCGTATCAGAGGGAACAATATTAACCATATCATAAAAATGACACGTTAGAAAAATGAACATTAGTAACGCTACTGCAGATGTAAAAACACAAAAGCAGTTCTCTAAACAAACCTGCAGTTCACTTAAAGACAAAGTCCATCCTCCTTTCTTTGATTACAAAGAGTTAAATGCCACGGTTGTACAGTAACGTTACATCCGTGCGGTTCACTTCCAGTAAGAAGTTCTTCTGGATTCATGGATGCCAGTGAAGACAGTCGAGCCTCCCCAGTTGTATTTCTTGAATACGTTTTAATGCGCTTGAGGGCTGAAAATGTCCACTCGACAGAGGCAGCAGATATTGGGATTGTCACCACCCAACATGCCAAAACGCTAAAAATGTAATGTGACGTAAAAACTTCTTGCATATCTTTAAACTTTAACTCTTACTACTACAAAGTTCTGCTAGCTAGTTTCACAACAGTCATGCTAGCCCACTGACCAATCAAGACGCACATTAATGCTGACGTACTTGTAGGCCAGCTAGCAGGCTCTGGCACGTCAAAGAATATGCCCAACATGTCAAACTAAAGATCTGATTGGTTGAACAATATGACAATCAACACTATTGTCCCCATTCACTTAAACTGCACATGGATGCACTTGTGACTCTGCAGGCCTGGGCCTCTGTTCTTACCTAGAGACACAGAGGTGAAATCTGATTGGATAAAAGCTCTACTTAAAACAAGCTGCACTGGAAGCAGAGCAACTGAGGAAGACAGGAGCTGTGCAATGAGAAAATAAGATAATGGGAAAATATTTAGATTACATGTAGTGTATTTATGAAAAATAATGAAGTAGCTGTAACTTTTTGATTCTGTTTAGACCAGCAGAGATGGCCTTGCTGGCCCTGATGGCCCACCACTGGTGGCTAGTTCTTATGAATGTGTGATTTGTTTATAAGGAAATTCAATATTTCTATTAATGAAACAAGTTAAAGGCTATATCGCAGAAAAATTACAATTATTGAAATTATAAAAATTTATATTCTGTAATAAACTTATATATAAGTTTCTAACCCTGATCTTTTAATTTTTGTCCCCTGCAGAAGTACTAATGGATTCAACGACGGCAACAGCAGAACTGGGCTGGACCATCCACCCATCACAGGGGGTGAGTGGAACAAACCAAGACTCCAGGAACACTGTAAAACTTACTGCCAATATACAAACGTTGTGTTACAATGTGACGGGAGCAGTGATGACTTAATATGAACATCTTTTGATCGACACCTGGAAACTCCTACACCGACCTCTTTTGGTTGAAATACCTCCGGTGAAGGGAGAATGATTGAATCAGTATCTCACTCTGGATGAACCAACTTGTATTGATGCTCTGATATCCAGTTTAGAGAGACCACTGTCTCACTGTTTACACATGTTGACCAAAGAGTTTAAAAAAATTAATACTACAAGGTAAATTACACTGATGGAAGAAGTAGTCAGATCTTGAACTAAGTAAAAGTACCAGTACAACCATGTAGTAAAAGTTCTGTATTCAAAATCCTAGTACAACAGTAGAGAAGTATTCTCAGCTTCATAGTTAAAGTAAAGCAGTAAAAGTACACAAGTATTATCATCTTCATGTAGTTAAAATATCAGCAGTTAAAATACACAAGTATTACTGGCTTCATAAAGTACCAGCAGTAAAAGTACACAAGTATCAACCATGCTCACCTCCACATACATGCTTTAGGTCCTTAGGTATTGCTCTGCTGTGTTCTGAGCAGATCAGATGGCATGCAGCAGATAATAGAACACTCATTACAAAAGACTTGAGAGTTGACTTGATCTTCCAAAAAGATGACTTGGGAGCATCTCTGTCTGTCAGTCAAGTTAAATTCAACCATATTATTTTCCTAACCCCCATTAAGTAGTGTTGCCTATACCTGATTTCCTGTAAAGACAGATTTTTGTTTTAAAAAGACACCAGGCATGTAACGAGTGGTAACTGACGTTCCGTCCCTGACACTTCCAAAACTGATGCTTGAAGGGTACGTAGAACATTATAGTTTAAAGCTTTGTATGACCGAGAGGGATAATGTGTTGCCCAGCTCACACTGAGCAAGAGACAGATACTCATGGACAGCTCATCATTCTATCAGGCATATACACAGATAAACTCCCATGGGCAGTTTAGGGCTGTTAATCCACCTGCTGTACTCGATGTTTCTTCTGATACTGAGTATCTAATACTGTGTATCTATGGCAAAAATGAAATAAAGTTTTCATATCTATGTTTTCATTCGTAAATAATCGCCTGACCCTAGGAGTCATTGTGTTTATGTTAGCTTAGAATGAGTCCTTTATGGAAAACAAGAAACACTGGCTCTAGAGAGAGCTTTTTACGCTTTTACATAACCTGAAAGCCAACGTAGTTCTCCGACACAGTTGGAAAGGGGGCCTTGTGAGTTGAGGGCTATTCAGTTGGTTGAAATCTGCAACCTCACCACTAGATGCCAAAGTGTGTAAATCCTACACACTTGACCTTTAAAACTGTCTTTTTTTCCAAATTGCAACCTCTTGTCGGTCACACAAATATTGAATATGAGATGCAAGATGGAATAAGAGTGACGTTGTTATGGCGCTGACAAAACTCTTATGGTGTGTTCAGACAAAATGTGAAGCAAATCTTAGCCCTGTTTTAGTCATGCATTCATTCATGTTTGTGCAGTCTGTGTGTATTTGTACCAAACAGCCAACTGTTTAGCTGTAAGCTCGCTAGCGATGGAAGCAGCCATCATGTGTGTGAGTGTGTCTGTTTGTGTGTGTGTTTGTAAGGCTTAGCCCCTTGTCAGAACTCAACAAAAACTACAGGGGTCTCATTTAAAACCGTTGCGTACGCACAGAAAGAGTCTGAAAGAGGCGTATGCCACTCCCCACGCAAACGTTGTGATCTATAAAAACAAACTTGACGGGAGAATGTGCGCACCACGAACATTTTAGAGACACGGGGAAATTAGCGACGGAGATGGTGAGGTGGTGAATTGAAGCCGGATTGTAGAAGATAAATGTGAGGCATCATTATACATATACTGACACATTTAATTTCACTACATATCACACAGTTACTTTACACTTATAGATCGTCTTTACCATAAGCATTCAAACCAACAGTGTTATTTGTGCTAATGAGCCATAAATATTCCATGAGCACCTTTCACTTGTAAAAGATAAACGACAACTTGAATCACAAATGAAATTCTGTTCAATATTCATCAGCGCTGTCTCGCCTTCACATTCCCCGTCTACGGAACGCAGTGCCGGACTGTTGTTAATTAAGAATGAAATAGTTGTAGAAATGCAAGATGACCTCAAATAGCATTAAATCATTCCAGAACAGAGTGGCAGCACTTTTCAATAATATACATTTATAGTATAATAATATACATATCGTATTTGTGTCTAAAACCCGCTGCAGGGAACACGACTCTGCTGGCATGCTCACAGCACGCATTGGAGGTTCCGGCAAACACAAACTCAGCTGTGTGTGCCTTCTCCAGTCACCTCACATAGCACATATTAACTACCTGCAAATACTGTATGGATTGTGTGAATTAGCAAAGTGTGGAAATAAAGCCAGTAACAGCTCTCGTATAATCAATCCGTATCTTCTTTATCAGTCTTATTCATAATGCCATAAGAAAACAAAAGTAAATAAATAAATAAACTGTGTTTACCCATCAAACTTCCTTTTCTTAGATGATATACTGATTGTCGCGATCAGTCTAATTGCTGTAAAACATAAAAATACTAGAGACTTGTGTGATGTGTTATGCTGCACGATAGATACTCCGGCACTGTTGGGACTGCGTCAGTGGAAGAATTGGGAATGAACGAGTGTTCTTTGCTGTGATTCACCGTAAAGTCCCTCTGATCAGCAGCTCATGTTTATGCATCAACATTCATAAGGTGCTTTGCTGCTTTAGAACAGCTGTTACTGTCAAAGCAGTTGTAGTTTTTATACATTTGTTGTGTGTCGCTGAATATTTTGTTTCTTGTCTGTCTTCTAGTGGGAAGAAGTTAGCGGGTATGATGAAAACATGAACACCATCCGAACATACCAGGTGTGTAATGTCTTCGATAGCAGCCAGAACAACTGGGTAGGCACCAAATACATCCGCCGCCGTGGTGCTCAGCGCATCCATGTCCAGATGAAGTTCTCAGTGCGCGACTGCAGTTCCATACCCAATGTCCCTGGTTCCTGCAAGGAGACCTTCAACCTGTATTACTATGAGTCTGACTCGGACATGGCCACTAAATTATCCCCACCCTGGATGGAAAACCCCTGGGTGAAAGTGGACACTATAGCAGCTGATGAGAGCTTCTCTCAGGTTGATCTCGGTGGCCGCATCATGAAGATCAACAGTGAAGTCCGGAGTTTTGGACCTGTTTCGTGCAATGGCTTCTACCTCGCTTTCCAGGATTATGGCGCCTGCATGTCACTCATTGCCGTTCGAGTCTTCTACAGGAAATGTCCCCGTGTGATTCAGAATGGCGCAATCTTCCCTGAGACTCTGTCTGGAGCGGAGAGCACCTCTCTGGTGGCAGCCAGAGGGGTGTGTGTTCCCAATGGGGAGGAGGTGGATGTACCTATCAAGCTGTACTGCAACGGGGATGGGGAGTGGATGGTGCCCATTGGGCGCTGCATGTGCAAAGCCGGCTACGAGGCGGTAGAGAATGGTACAGTCTGCAGAGGTAAGGAGTCCGCCTACTATATGACACCTCTGTTTTGTTTTCTTGATTTCTTGTTGCAGCAGATTTGTGCCTTCTTGGGTATGGTGCTTACCTTCTTGTGTCAGGAGCAGAACATTTTATTCAGTCAGCTGAAAATGTAGTCATAACCACAGTTCAGCCGTTTTAGCCACGCCAGCAGCATAGCTGTAGGAATGAAAATATAGACAGGTCAGTCGGTCCACCACTGTGGTCCACAATAAAATGCATCTCAGGAAATATTGGATATGGCAGTAAAAGGATGTACATTTGTGGTCCACTCCGCATGATTCCAAACGGCTTTGCCTGACCTTTAATCTCATAGTGCCATCAGCAGGTCAATGTTTTCATTTATCCAGTGAAATATTTCACTCAAGCCAAGTTGATGGTGACAAATCGGGATCACCAAAGTCAGTAGGAGTCATCGTCTTGGGACCATGAATGTCTGTATAAAATATCATGGCAAGGCAATCCATCCAATAGTAGTGAGATCTTTGAGGCAAGACTAAAATGACAGCAACTCTGTAGCTGGTAGTTCGTAGTCTGTCGTTGAGAGTGCTTTCAGCTGCATCTTTGCCTGACAAAAAATAAACAAAACAAAAATGCCACCAAATATTTTACTCATAACTAACTATAACTAGTTAACATAGCAGTTCCACCTAAAGCCAATGCTACCAACTTATAAATGCAGCAATTCAAAACAAGATGCAAAATGTCAATACAGCTTATACAACTGCCTTCATAAAGATTCTGATAAAGCCAGTTAGAGTCATTTCAATTTAGCTTTGTATAGCCTATATGGAAATAGTTAGGTTAGTGACAACACATACTGTATATATATATATGCAAATTTGTAGGTGAGGTAATCTCGTGACATTTAGCAGACTTAATGAATGGTAACGTGTGGAACACGAACATAAATATCCTTAGGGACCCACAAACTGTTATTCTGCACTACTTGACTGAACACTTATTTAAACTGCTTATATTTATACCTTTCTATTTTTGCACTACATGTAGTTTGTGTTGTGCTGTGTTGATGCATATGTGCATATTTAAGCCAAGTACACCGTCAAATGTCTTCTCCATCAAAGTGTCTAGAGGCTGAGAAGATCAGTTCACTGCTGGAGCCTTCTGCCTGGCTGCCTCTGTCCCCTTTTAGTGTTGTTGTTTAATAGACGGGATAGTAGACTTTAGTTCCTGCTTATTGGTGGCTGACCTGGTTGTTGTTGATAGAGTCTAACCTTTCTGATTGGTTCAGAGACTAAATTTAATTCTTATTCAACATAATCCACGAAGAAATTTACTGGCGTAATATGAAAAACAATGTTTTTTCTGGTCTGGTGAAGTGGCTTTTCAAAATAAGAGTGCAGACTTAAAAAAAAAAAGAATAATAATAATTTGTGTTATATTTAATGGTCAGGCCCACTGTTATGTATGTGAACTGATGCTGAGGCCTGAGGACATCATTGACTGAACTGATGGTTTGTATTGTATCTGATGATACATGGTTCCTCTCCCTTTTCCAGAATAGCTGTTGTTGTTGTTTTTTCTGTATGTTTGTTTGTTTGTTTCATAATGTATCTCCATGAGTTTGCAGCCATCTCTGTCTCCTTATTTTTTCCTCATCTATATTTATTACCACTTCGCACCTTGAATATTGCAAAGTTGTGTTAAGTTCAGTGATGGCTTTTCTTACTCAGGAGAGTGTTCTCTCATCCCTGATTGGCTACTGCTGTCATAGGTTTATCTTTATCTACGGAGGTGTCCTCATGCTGTACAAACATAGCAGGATCAGGAGACATTCATACAGTAACCAGTAATCTGTATTAGGCTTTTGTATACAGCTTCATACACACTTTTACTTCATTGTTACAGTAAAAGTTGAATACAGTTGTGTATTTACAGATCAAAGTGTGATGACAATATACCTAAAACATGCACAACCAGATGCATTGTTGTTTAGGAATTTAAACTGTTCCCTGGGAGCAAATGAGGACAGTGAGTGGTGCATTAAAGATGAATGAATATGAAAAGACGAATAAAAAGAGCACTGTTTTCCTGAATGGAAGGCCTGCGCTATGATAAACTTTAATGAGGTCTAGACGTATCAGGCACAGGCTGTATATAAGAATAAGGACATAGTCAACATGACATCACCCATTGGTTTGTGGACTATAGTTTTGAAGTCTTGAGTTTGTATTCCGTCAAATCTTTTTTTTTTTCGCAACCACAATTGATGCGAATGCATGAAGCTAAGTACAACCGACCGCTGACTAAGGCATTTTAGGTGACCAGGGAGGTTACAATTAACTTTCATGAAGTGAAAACAACCTGTGAAAAGGTTGAGGAGCAGTGAGGATTTAGGGGGATCTATCTACAACAGGGATGGGCAATTATTTTTCCCAAATGAGAAACAGGGACTGTTGTGGAGGGCCGGACCAATAGACTGAACTCAATCCTGCTCAATATTAAGCCACCTCTTTATAAAAAGCAGTAAATTGTATGGTTTTGATAAGCTATGAGTGGTAAGAGTAAATATTATGAGTGGTGGAATGTAACTAAGTATATTTGCTTAAGTACTTTACTCAAGTACAAATTATTTACTTGAGTGTTTCCATTTTATTCAACTTTGTACTTCCATTACATTACAGTCATTTAGCAGACGCTTTTATCCAAAGCGACTTACAATAAGTGTATTCAACATAGGTATTCAAGAGAACTACTAGTCACCAGAAGTCATAAGTGCATCTCCTTTAAACAAGCATCTAAGAGCATAAACCAGAGCAGAAGTACAGTGCAGAAACAAACTAATACGGATACAATAAGTGCAACAAGCTAATATGAATACAATAAGTGCAACAAGCTAATATGAATACAACAAGTGCAACAAACTAATATGAATACAATAAGTGCAACAAACTAGTATGAATACAATAAGTGCAACAAGCTAATACGAATACAATAAGTGCA